AGCCAGGTTGCATGTATTTGTCCTCCCCAGAAAGTCATTCCTGATTTTCTGAGTTTTCTCAGGGCAAGGGTAGACACATACCCAACTTAAAGTTAAAGGAGACGCTATTCTGGTTACATTAACCTCCAGCTTCCCCATTGTCTTTCTCTATGAGGATCAGGTTAAAAAACAGGCTTTTCTTAATCATTTTAAAAGGTCTTTTGGAGGGAAAGTTGCCCATTCTCCTTGGGCACTGTTCTTTATTTAGGTGTAAATGTGTCCAACCTCTTTGACCTGTCTGAACAGTGTTTCTGGTAGCTCCCAGGTCAGTTCCAACTTGTTTTCCTTCCAGACTTAAAAAAAAAGAATAAAAATTAAAAAGATGCATTGATTTTTTTCTTATTTATGTACATGTGTGAGATTGTGTGAATTTATGCGCAGCATGCATGTATGTGTGTGGAGCCCGCGGAGCCCAGAAGAGAGCACCGATGCTTTGGAACTGAATTTATAGGCAGTTGTAAGCCATCTGGTGTCGGTGCTGGGAATCAAATCCTGGGCCTCTTCAAGAAAAACAAGCACTCTGAACTGTGGAGCCATCTTTTCTTTCTAGCTCTTACCAGCGCTCAGTCCCCACGCTGGAAGGGATGAACTGGAAATTCTAGTGGAGGGGGTCTAGGCAAGGAGGTCTTGAAACCTAAGAGAAAACCAAGAGGAGGAGAGACCCAGCTCATTGTCTTTGACAAAGTGATCTTAGTGTCCATGGAGGGAAAAACACTGCCTCTCCCATGGTATGGTAACACGTAGCATCTCATGAGAGGCTGTGTGAATTCTTGGAAGCGTTTGGTCCGAGACAGTTTAGTCTCCATGATTAGCCTAGTACTTTGTCGTTTACGGGTCTTAGTCCTTCTTTCAACTTTACCTGAGGAGAGAGGGTACCGAGGCATATGGCAGTCCCCGTTAGTATCTTTGTTGGCTAGTCTTGTGTCAACTTGACACAAGCTGGAGTTACCCGAAAGGAGGGCACCTCAACTGAGAAAATGCCTCCATAAGATCAGCTGTGGGCAACCTGTAGAGCATTTTCTCAATTAGTGACCGAGCAGGGAGGGTCCAGTCCATGGTGGGTGGTGCTATCCCTGGGCTGGTGGTCCTGGGTTCTATAAGAAAGCAGGCTGAGCATGCCATGGGGAGCAAGCCAGTAAGTGGCATCCTTCCATGGCCTCTGCATCAGCTCCTGCCTCCAGGTTCCGGCCCTGTTTGAGTTACTGTCCTGACTTCCTTTGATGATGAATTGTGTGTAAGCCAAATAAACCCTTTCCTCTCCAAGTTTCTTTTGTCATGGGGCTTTATCACAGCATTAGAAACCCTAACTAAGACAGTATCCAAGGCTCTCATTATCCAAGTTTCTATTTTGTGTTAACTGAAATCTCAGGACCAAATGCTAAGAGTGTTATTGTTACCTATTGGCTGTAGCCTCGGGGAGTGGGGATATGCCAGTCAATTAGTGAGGTGGTCTACAGTCACCATTAACTATCTGGTCCACCTACCTTTGGCATCTCAGTATAGTGCACCTAGACACCTTGGAATGGCCTGAGCCCAGAATTTCTTTCCCCTGCATCTGTTTGTGAAGGTTCTGATTATGAGCTTTGCAACAGGCCACATAACTGATGATGACTATTTCACTATAGTGCAGATCCCTATATATACATACGTCCTTAGAACAGCTACACATATTGTCTGGGGACCACTGACCTCTTTCATGTGATGGAGGCTGGTACCCTTATTGATGTGGCTAGCATTTCCCTCCTACCAGGGAGAACCCATTTCCCTTCTACTATATTAGGTAGCCTCTATGCCAGTCAGTTAACTGTTCTTCTTCCAACCCTGACAATGTTTTAAAAATGATTTTATTTTATTTTATTTTTATTTATTTATTTATTTATTTATTTATTTATTTATTTATTTATTTATTTTTGGTTTTTCGAGACAGGGTTTCTCTGCGTAGTTTTGCGCCTTTCCTGGAGCTCACTTGGTAGCCCAGGCTGGCCTCGAACTCACAGCGATCCGCCTGGCTCTGCCTCCCGAGTGCTGGGATTAAAGGCGTGCGCCACCACCGCCCGGCAATGATTTTATTTTTAAAACATAAATTTTATGGCAGTTTGCCTGCATATATGTCTGTGTGAGGATGTTAGGTTCCCCTGGGACTAGAGTTACAAATGTGAGCTGCCATGTGAGTGGTAGGAATTGAACCCATGTCCTCTGGATGAGCAACCAGTGCTCTTAACCACTGAGCCATCTCTCCAGTCCAACCTATTGATGTAACCAACCATCTTATTAAATAAGAAACACAGAAACAATGTAAAAGAAAAAGCCGAGAGGTCAGAGCTCAGAGCTAAAATCTCACCCTTCCGCCTGCAGTGTCAGCTTCGCGTGAAGAGACCTACTTCCTCTCGGTTCGTATTTTATAGTATTATTGTTCTGCCTTCTCATTGGTTGTAAACCCAAACATGTGACTGCCTCATCACTGTCTGAATGTACAGCCCCCTAGGTCTTAAAGGCATATGTCTCCAATGCTGGCTGTATCCCTGAACACACAGAGATCTATGGGATTAAAGGCGTGTGCCACCACCGCCACACTCTGTCTATGGCTCTAATAGCTCTGACCCCCGGGCAACTTTATTTATTAACATACAATCAAAATCACATTTCAGTACAATTAGAATACCACCACACCAACCCTCTACAAATTTTGAAGTGGGGTTTGAAGAAGGTGAGGATGAGAGGCCATATAAAAACTTCAGACTCCATAGCAGTTTCTCTTGCTATTATGTCAGCCAATCTGTTTCCCTGAGTCTCCAACCTGTGCCCCCTTCGATTCCAGGGAGGTTTATACAGTGATAAATTTCCTCAGGCAGTTCTGAGTTTTCCAATACCTGAGTAATTAGTTCCTTATGTATCAAATTCTTCCCTTTTCTGTTAATTGGCCTCCTTTCTGTCCAGATTTCCCCCAAAATATAAACTACTCCCAGGCATCTGTGGGGGCTGGAGCGATGGCTCAGGAGTTAAGAGCACGGGCTGTTCCCACAGAGGAGCCAGATTTGGTTCCCAGTACTGACGTGGCAGTTCAACCACCTGAAACTCCAGTTCGGGGGATCCGATGTCCTCATCTGATCTCCTTGGGCATCAGGCATATGCATTATGCTCATACATACACATGGGAAGAATACCTAAATGCATGGCTGGAGTCTGTATTATAGTCTCCTTGTTTATCTTTAAGGTTTTAATGGCCTGGTTTAAGGCATAACACTCAGATGTCTGGGCAGACCAGTTCTTTGTCATTCATCAACATTCAGTGACTTTTTATTTAATCCTGTCAATCTCAGAATACCTGTTGATGTCTTTTATCTTGAGTTACGCAGCAGAACTCATCTCCCTGAAGAAACGGGTCTTGCTCATTTCAGGACAGACTTAGTCAGATTTAAACATTAATGTTCTGTGGGCACCGAAGGATCCCTGCACTCAGGAATTCTGCAGGGTTAAACCAGTCGTTGGTGGCTAGGATGGAATCATCTTTCTCTGGAGGAATAGCCTCCCACTTCAAGATTCCAGCGTCTGCTGGCCAGAGCCTCGCCCTCTTCTGTAGGCTTCTTCTTACTGGGAGAGCAGTGTCCATAATTAAACAGCTGCAAAGTTCCCTTTCAGCTCTCCTCCTTGGGGGCTGGGGAGCTGCTGACTGAATGCATCCCAGACACCCTTGGTAGGCTGGGTGGAACAGCTTTGGCAAGGCCTTTTCCCATGACCCCGAGCGAGTGCTCCAAGGGGGGTAGCTTTGTCCTCCCTTACAAAAAGATGAAAAGTCTTTTCCAAGAGAGGGCAAGGCTAACGCCGGGGCGGGCATTAATTCCTGCTTACTTCTCCGGCCTTAATTTCCTTTACCTCCTCGGGCTCGGGCTCCTAGTCTAGGATTTGTGGGTGTGACTTTGGTTTGCTAGCGTAAGCATCAGTCCAGAGTCTACAGCACCCCGCTGGGCTCAAGTGTTGTCTTAAGTCCTTTCTTGGTTTTGGGGACTGGGGTGTGGGCATGAATATCTTGTATCCTAAGAGAAAAAAAAAAGTAGAGGAGAGACCCAGGACATAGTTTGGATAAATTGTTCTTTAGTCTCCGTGGTGTGAAAATGGGAAGAGACTTCTGTGTACCTCCCAGGAGGGTAGTCTATTGTACTACTGCTTTCTTTCGGTCTCTGGATCTTCCCATTCAAAGGCAAACAAGTCCCTACTTTCCTCTGCCAAATACAAGTCCAGAAAGCATCTTCAAGGCTGACTACACTGAGCCATTTGTGACCGTAAGGAATCTCTGACAAGAGGGTGTAGGGCTTTGGGAACACCAGATGCTGCCCTGGGCCATCTGGTTTACAGCCTTCAAGTCTATGAACTTGAATAAACTTAAACAGTGGATTAAGCTCCATCTGCTCCCCTTACAGAGACTATTGGGGTATTGTCTTGGGGTTCAAGGCCCCCGTCCCCAGGAAGACTGTTGCTAACTGGAGTCAATCTTTTCACCCCTTCCTGAGGAATGTGTGCTGCTTCCTTTGAATGTCTCACCCAGTGCCGGAAGGCTGATCTGAAGAGGGACGGCCCGCAGCCATGCCTGTTTCCCTGCTTAACCCCGGGGTCATCTGGTGTTCTGCCTTAGCAGCTTGGAGCCACGAAGAGACAAAAAGAGATGCAAAGTTCAGCTCTGTCTGTCTGCAGCTCTGTCTGTGGTCCTTCTCCTCCACTGAGTCATTAGTCTTTTCCCAAGGGGTTTATCCCCGCCTCCAGGACTGGAGACAGATAGATACAGGTTGTCTAGGAAGGGAAAGAGAGGGGAGGAGACACCGGCAAGAGGGATACCCAGAATCTATGAGAGAGAATATTTTTTAATTTTGAATTTTTGAAAATGTCATGAGTTCTTTATTTACACCATGTCACTCCTTCCCCTCCTCCTTCCAGCTCCTCCCATTTTCCCACCCCTTTTGAACGCATGACCTCTTATTCTTTCATTACCATTACATGCACGCGGCATGTGCCCCTGATGAATCCATTTGGTGTTGCTCATGACTGTACGTGTTTAGGGCTGACCACTTGGGACTGGCTACCCCATCAGGGAGCTCATCTCTGGGGAAGACTGATTTTCCTTCTCTTAGGAGCCATTAATTGCTTATAGCTCCTTATCTAAGGAGAGGGCCTTGTGAGATTTTATGCATTCACAATGGCAGGTCAACTAGTGTTGCCATTGTGCAGGTCATGTTCAGGTGACAAATTGTTGACATTTCATGGGTGTAGCTTCTCTTATATAAAAGACGTCTCACAGCAGATACCCTAGTCCTCTGGTTCTTACAATCTTTCTGCCTGCTTCTTCCAGGGTGTTGCCTGAGCCTTAGATATAGCAGCTGTGCTGTTCGTATATCAGCTGGGGCTAGACGCCCAGTGATCAATTATTCTCAGCATTTTGTGGATTTCTGCAATGGTCTTGATCTGCTGCAAAAAGAAGCTTCATTGATGAGGAGCAAGAGTGACAGTTACCTGTGGGTATAAGAATAACTATTAGAATGCACTCAGAAATTATACTGGCTTAGGAAAGTGGCAGTGGTAGTTTCCCTTATAGGGTCCATGGCCTTGCCAGCCATAGGGAGTTGGCTAGAGTTGCTTCCATTGATGGACTTAAAACCAATTAGAAAGCTATTGGTTACCCCCAATATATGTCTTGTTTTGCTGGTCATTGTTGAGGTTCATAGATATTACAGTGGCATTCTCCCTTAGTACCACACGTAGCTCCTTTTAGGCTATGAGAGCTAGTCCTCAGGGAGGAGGCTTGACTCCTACACAGGACTCTCCCCCATCCTTCTCTCTTTTTAATTTCATGTGCATGAGTGGTTTGCCTGCCTGTGTGTGTCTGTGTACCATGTGTGTGCGGTGCATGCAGAGACCAGAACCGAGTATCAAATCCCTTGGAAATGGAGTTACAGCTGGTTGTGGATGCTAGGAATCAAATGCAGGTCTCCTGCAACAGCAACAGTACTCTTAACTGAGTCTTCTCTCCAGCCCCAGGTCTCAGACCTTTAACCCAACCTCTACTCAATGAGGAAGCTTGATTTCTCTTACCTGTTTTGTGTTTGTGATGCTCTGATTACAGGCTCACCCTGCTTTTTTCTGTGGAAACCCTCAGAAAGTGTCACAGAGGCTCTTCTTGGCTGCTGGTAGGTCAATATAAGACCCCTACTGGATTGATCCCAGACAGAGTTCATGCAGACTCATATGCTGTATGAGAGTATCATCCAGAGGAGCTCCCTAGGTATCACATAAAGTTTCTCATATTCTACCTGACCAGGTCTCTGAGCAGGCCCCTCAGGGGAGAATGGGACCATGTTTTGGGTGTCTGCACCTGGTAAACATTTGACCACATGTCTCCTTGACTTTCACCAACCTCTGGGTTGTCCCGACTACCAAAGCAGTACTGAAACTTCAATTTTATTGCTACCTTGGTTTGTGCATGAAGTCATCTGGTCACCTCGCAGTACCTGCTTGGGGCCCTTATCCCAATGTGGCCAATTGACTTTCGATTTTGGGTTTCCACTAGTTCTGAGGTTAGGGTATGTTTCTACCTTGAGAGCGGCAATAACATAGCCAGGAGCACCTCCCAGTCTCTGACACACACACACACACACACACACACACACACACACACACACACACACACTCCCATCCTGCCCCATCCCGCCCCTGAGGCCATGGAGCAATTCCAGATGAGTTCCCAAACTGTGAGAAATGGGTCTGAGGTCCCGAGAAAATGAGCACATAATTCGAAGTATTTCAGCAAGATAAATAGGCACACCTAGAGGCCCTGTGTCTCACTCTAATTGGCCAGGGCTCAGACTCACATTCTTCCATGATTGGCTAATACAGAGTGGCACAGTTTCTGGGTGAAATGAAACCTGACCATGTATTTTGACTCCAGGAATTGCTTAGGTGGAATTTTCACCAAATGAATCTTTTTCTAAAATAGAGTTTCCTTTGCCTCATTTACTCTGTGTCCTCATTTGCTTCCTGTTGGTATGATGATCAGGACCAAAAACAACTTGGAGAGAAAAGGGTTTATTTGGCTCACACTTCTACATTACAATCCACTATCAAGGGAAGCCAGGGCAGGGAGGTAGAAGCTGAAGCAGAGACCATGGAGGAATGCTGCTTACTGGCTTGCTCCCCATGGCTTGCTTGACCTGCTTTTTTATATAATCCAGGATCATTTGCCCAGGGACAGCACATGCCTAGGCCTGGGGCCTTTCAGAGCAATCATTAATCAAGAAAACATCCCACAGGCTTGCCTACAGGCCGATATGATGGAGGCATTTTCTTAGTTGAGGTTCCCTCTTTCCAGATGACTCCAGCCTGTGTCAAGTTGACAAAAACCAGCACAGCCTTTGGTAGAAAAGACAGTGCATCATGTTTACACGTCTCACACTTCCTTCCATGCATGGGCTTGGAGTGAGGCCCGGCCTGTGCAGTTCCCCGTGGTTTGCTGCCCTTCATCAGCTCTCCCTCCACCGTGAGCACATGCAGAGGCTTTGGGGGTCCTCGGTTGTAGCTGGTTTGCCCTTCTGTGCTCTCTTCAGCACTCCAGAGCCCTCACCGTGCTGAAGGTGAAAGTTCGCTGTCAGATGGTGGCCAAGCGCGGAAATGAACCAACGCTGAGTCACACAGGGTTAACCCTGGCTCTGTTGCTGCTGTGGCCTATGCTCTACCCCCTGAGCCACTGTGTCGTCGTCATCTACACAGGGTGATGCTAATAATCCCCTTCATAAGAGTGTCTAAAGGCCCCAAAGCCTTCATTTAGTTTTACACCAGCCCAGCGCCTCTGCTAAGCAGGGCGCAGGTGGGTCTCAAGGAGTGGTTCAGGCCGAGGCAGATTCTCCGAGCTTCTAAAGCCTAAGGCAACCGAGGAGCTGGGGACTTTTGATAGCTTTCCGGAGGAGGGAGAGTCAGTTTTCTTTAATGGGGAGGCCTCTGGTAGGCCAACTTTGCTCCAGTGGGTGGAGCCACACCTCTGAGTATGTGGACTTGGTGGGTCATCAAAAAAATGGAAAGGGGACACAGAGTTAGGAGGGGGTCTGGAGTGGATCTGGGAGAGGACTGAGGGCTAAATATGATCAAAATAATCTGTTTATACAAAACCTTCAGAAATTAATTAAAAAATACATTAAAAGCAAAACCCTTGGCCTGGTGTGGTGGCACACACCTTTAATCCCAGCACTCAGAAGGCAGAGGCAGGCGGATCTCCATGAGCTCGAGGCCAGTATGGTCTACAGAGTGAGTTCCAGGACAGCCAGGGCTACACAGAGAAACCCTATCTCAAACAAACAAACAAACAAACAACAACGAAACCAAAACCCTGGGAGGGACAAGCATAGGTTGGACATTCCGATTCCCCAAGGACATAAGTGCAAAAGCAGGGTGACAGGTTCTGTTCCGGGAGGAATAGAAAGTGTGTCTCGGAAAGGCTTGGTCACCAGCTGGTGGATCCAGTCACTGAAATGGATCATGCTGTCATCAGTGGCTGATTCTCCAAGGGCTTCATGGTTTCATGGCACCACTGGGAGGTGAGGGAGACTTTGGAAGGCGTGGCCTACTTGGAGGAAGTAGGTCACAGGTATGTTTGGGTGTTGTCTGGTCTCAGTCACCCCTGTCTTTCTCTCATGAGGTGGGCAGCTCTGTTGTACCCCACCCTTCTACCAGCATAGGCCTTACCGTTAGGCCCCAAACAATAGAGCCAATCCACCATGGAATGAAACCACTGAAATATGAGCCAAAATATAACCTCCTGTAAATGGCTGATCTTGGTGGCCAAATTGATTACTACCCAAGCAGCTGGGCACATCTGTGAGGGACTTTCTTGACTGGATCACTGCAAGTGGGAAGACCCACCCTTAAATCTGGGCCACATCTTCTGGTGGCAGCCCACATAAAAGGACACAGAAGGAGGAAGCTTTTGCTTTTTGCCAGCTTGTCCTCACTCTCCCTAGCAAGTTCATCTATCCTGTTGCTGAGGCATTCCTTCCCTGGTGGTAGAACCTACTCCTTCAGGACTCCAACACAGACTCAAGACCCACAGCTCTCTAGGAGTCTTCCAGGATTCCAGCACCAGCCTGGGACTACTGAGACATGCAGTCTGAACAACTACTGTATTATTGGCCTTTCTATCAGGAGGTAAGTCACTGCTGGACCACCCGGACCACAGCTTGTAAACCACTCTAACAACACCCCTTTAATCTCTTTCGGCTCACTCTATGGTCCTGTTCCTTTAAGGAGCTCTGACTAATGCACTTCTTTGTTTACTGGTGTTTCTTCACAGCAATGCAAAGTTCACACAGGCTTCAAGTCCAAAGCGAGCAGTAGGATGACCATCTTGAGGCTGGAGAATCATCCCCAGGTCCTGAGTTCTGGGCACCCAGGATGGGCCTGGCTCTGGGGAGTCCCTCCCCACGGCTTTGCTGCCCTGACCCCAACTACAGCTCTCCCAGACTGATGGCTTTACAGTCCTAAACCCCTGCCATACCCAACCATTCTGAAAGAAACTTCCTTTTTTCTTTTTGTTTTTTTTCAGGCCTGTTTCTCTGTGTAACAGCTCTGGCTGTCCAGGAACTCACTCTGTAGACCAGGCTGGCCTCAAACTCAGCGATCTGCCTGCCTCTGCCTCCCAAGTGCTGGAATTAAAGGTGTATGCCACCATGCCCTGCTTCATTCTGGCAACTTTCCAGTGTGACTGTGATAGCATGAATGGGTCCTTTAAGGAGAGCATTTCAAAGTAGGAGCTACACAGGATGCTGATGTTCTCATGCATGTGGACATGCATCTGTGCAGCAAAGCCCTTTTCGGCTTTGTGAAACTGCCCCGGGCCTATACCTGTAGGAGCTTCCTGTCCCCAATTCCCCAGCCCTGCTGAGAACGAAGAGAAATAGAAAGCTCCACGCAGGAGCAGTCTGGTGTAGTTAATGATTCTATGTTCTGCTCAGCAACAATATGGTCTATTAATTGATGCATCTTCTATTTGGTAACAGTCTTTCTAATTAACACAGGCTCTATTTAGTAACAGTATGCCCTATTTAATTTCTTTCATGTGTTCTGGTGAAAAACATTATGCTTCATTTAATGTATTTCATCTGTCTGCTCCTCATGCATTCTGTAACACAGGGTGCAGCTGGTGGTGCCGACAGACCGTGGGGAAGGGGTGCTCCCCGAGGAGGGCTTTCCAGAGGGAGGGGCTGAGCTCTTAGAGCCGGCATTTCAGGTGGGGACAGGGTAGGAAAGGCAAGGGGGTTCAATCAACTATATGGTTGGGAGGCATTTGGCAGGGGGTGCACCTCAGCTGGACTGGGGGTTCTCAGCTACTGTTCTCTAAGTTCCTTATGTCTCCTCTCTATCTTCAAAGTCGCTAAGTCCCAAGCAAACCTTTGGCTGTCTCTCATGGGGTGGCCTCTCTACTTGTTTTCAAATCTGCTCCCCGGTTTAGTGCTAAGGCTCCAACTTTTGTCCCTCCTCCCCAGCCAAGGGCCCTGCCAGGACCATGGATGGCAATCACACCTGCTGGGCCAGCCACTGGCAGCTCCTCAAGGCTTATGCTCGCCTGTGTGGACATGGTATCCCCACGGCCTAGCTGTTGTACAGCATTGGTGAATGTTCGAAAGCATTTGGTAGTTGAGGTCTGGGGATTTGTACGTGTGTGGCTTTGGGGGGCAGTACTGCACAGCTGCCTTCCCCACGTGACCTTCAGTGACAGGCATACAGTCTGGCGGGTGCCCAGGAAGGTTATGGGTGGGGTGGGGCTGAGAGCGGGTTCCACAGGACAACCCCAGAGCTGAGCCTACACAGGTGGGCGGATGACACGTAAAAGGGGTGGCTAATGGGTGGAGCAGCGTCTTCGGCAGAGCAGAGGGGCCTGGCCGAAGGTCTGAGGGCTGCTGGACACCTGGACAGTATATGGTAAAAGGACCAGGGAAAGAACACCCTGACCCTAACTTGACCTCACGACCAGGGCCAAGGAAAGACATCTTGACCCTGATGTCATAGCTAGGAGCTGAGAAGGGGAAGAGAAAGTACAGACAGTGGAGGTGAGAGAAAGCTTGGACATAGGGAATCTCTTTCCATTTCCCCCATCGTCACAGTAGTTGTACAGGTCCCGAATAATATTGGGATCCAGGGTGCCATTACGCAGCCATTTGGATTAATTATCTAAGGGGTATTGAGGCCAAATCTGATTGGAAAGGTGAATCAACTTAGGGCCCCTCAGGTTTGGTGCCAGGCTTAGAGGCTGGAGGCTTTTCTAAGAGGCATCCCAAGGGGGAATGGAGGGTATGGAAGACACCGTTCCCATGGATGAGAGATGAGAAGGAAAATGTCACCACAGCCTGTAGTCCCAGGTGTCCCCAGGACTAGGGAGGACCGAATGAGGACCAAGCTGTTCAGCGGGTCATCACTCCAATCAGTGGGGGTCAGGGCCTTAGCCTGGCTAAGCCAGAGGAGAGACTCGGCGCCTGGTACCAGGGCTTTCATAGAGGCCAGAAGATGAGGAAGAAAACCAAGCTGGAGGGGGTGGTGTGTCTCATCCACAGTCGCAAAAGCCACACGGGCCTAGAGGAGCTGTGGCAGCCCTGAAGGGAAGATGGGAGAAGAGGGCAGGAAGGGGCGATAGCCTGACTGGGCCTAAGGAAACTGCAGGATTGCAGAGCCAAGGGTAGGAGATGGCGTCAGGTGAAGAGGGCTAGTTGTAGCCTTAAAGACCTTGGCTGGGGATACCTCAGCCTCCAAGAATACCATAGGGGTGCCAGACACTCCACGGTCACTGCCTCAGACTCGGGGAAATGTTTACACCTACCAAAGGGTAAACTTACCTAATTGCAGCTGGTGGATGGGATGCCAAGTGATTGGCGAACCAAAAGGTGAGTTTGTTGTGGGCGGAGCATAGATGAAGGATAGGGTCCAGTGTGGCTCAGACCCTGAGGGGGCGCATAGGCACCAGAATAACCTATCGGAGCACAGAACCAAATGTAAGTGTTGTAGCTCCGCTCCTCTAGGGGGATAGATTCCCCGGTGAAAGTGATACAGCTCTGCTCCAGGGGAAAGTTTTCCCCAATGCAAGGGTCACAGCTCTGCTCTGGAAGGGGAGCGTTTCAGGCACTCCAAGCCAAGTCTCCATGCTTTCACTACATAGCCAAGTAAGTTATGGGAGGCCCCAGGAGGGCAGACCAAAGCTGCAGGCACGTGTACTTGCCTTTCTAGGTCTCTTATTACTCAGCATGATGTCCTCTAGATCATTTTCAAGGCTGCATAGAGTGCTATTGTATACCACCGTTTCTTTACTCCCGTGCTTTAGGTGGGTTCCATATCCTGGCTGTTGTGAACAGTGACGCAGTGAGCATGGGGTGCAGTGTCTGACACACTAACCTCATCTCCTCTGGATACACACCAGTAGTGGGATTGCTAGATGACATGCTTATATTTTTAATGTTTTGAGGAACCTCCACGTGGTTTCCATATCAACACCACCATCACCAGTTCACTGGCACCAAACACATGTACCCTGTGCAGCCATCTCCCTGTCCATCTTTAGAACTTCCCCATCTTCCAAAACGCAAAGCTGTCCAGCTTGAGCTCCTCATGTGGCTCCTCATGCTGGACCCACCTCTGAACTCCCTGCCTGATGATTCATACAGGTGACTGATTTGTGGCTGTCTTGGGCTCTGCATGCTTGCCCTTGTAAGGGAGGGCACTACCCAAATCAGAGAGCTGGCAACCTAAGGCAGTGAAGGAACAGAACATGGGCTGAACATGGTCTGCTCATCCCCAGCTGGAGGAGTAGAGTTTCCACACTGTAAACAGCTTCTCCATCAGCCTGAGGATCCAGGTCCTGGGACAGACTTGGGGACTGTTCCTTAAGCTCTCCTCCTTGCTCCTACCCCAAGTCTATAAGGCATGTGGAGGCCAGCCCAGTGTCCCCTGTGCTGGACATCCTTCACAGCTTCTCTGCTGGCTGCTCTCCATTCTTCTCTGCTCCACCCACAGCTCTGGGAGTCAGGGCCCTGTGGCCCGCTTCCTTCTGGCTTCCTTCTGGCGGAGCAGAGGCAGGCGCCTTGCCTCTCCCTACCTCCTCCTCTGTACTTTCAGGACAGCTTCTCGACATTAGGTCTTACATGGCTGAAGTTCTCCCAGGGAGCAGACGGTCAGGGTTACAGGCTACAGGAGGACTGTCAGCATCTCTAGGGCTGAGAGCAAGGACAGAGTGGCCATGGGGTAGGGGAGAGGGCAGAAAGAGCAGTGACCACAGGAGAGGACGGGGCTGTGCGGAGGAGCGGGGTTGGCTGCAGCCTGGAGAATGGATCAGCAATGAACGTTTAAAGAGGAAAAAAGAGGAGAGGAATCAGGGCCAAGGAGGAAAGGGCAGAGAGATTCTGGCTGAGGAGGTTGAAGGAGGTAGGTGAGGCCACGGTGAGAGAAAGGTGTGAGGTGGTGCCGCATGCACAGAAACAGGGTCTATGCTATTCCTGCTGGCCCAATGTCCCGGGGCTTCCTACCCACATTGACAACTGATGTGTCTACCTACGTAGCAACCTGAAGCTGCACACTGACCCAGCGGTTTGCGGTCCTTCTGGGAGCCCTGAAGGGACTACCAGTCATGACTTACATTTCCTGATTTAAGGAAGTGAATGCTGAAGGTTATTGCTGTGGGTTTTTCACGATGATTTAATCTCAAGTCCAAGAAGCTTGAGCCAGGTTGGGGTAGTGTTTGAGAAAAAGAGTCCAGCCAGTGAGTTCCTGGATTGGACCTTTTTTCTTAACATTTAGATTTTTCAGTAAAACGCCCAGTGGCCTGTTTTCTGAAAGTACTTTAGCTAGTCACTGACTAACTCGGAATGAAACTTCCGAAGAAGCTGTGGTTGCTAGGAAGCCAACTTGAGAAGGGCAGGGGAATCCCGCCTTCGTCATCTTTCCTCGAAGCAAGGTCTCCTTGGGGTAGACGAGGCCCAGCGTTTCTGGAAAGGCTGGGCGAAGGAGCTAGAAAACCACTTTGTACAACTACTGCATTAGAGCCGGGGCGTGCTTGGAGCAGGGAAGGTACACACCTCTATCGATCGCCCTTCTCGTGGCAGGTGGGTAACTCCCCTCCCACCCCTCCCAAGTACATCGGGTCTCAGCCCTGTCCCCTGAAGGAGGACGAAGTGATCACCTTTTTCTACACGCGAAGGAGACCAAACTTTCCAGCCCTCCGGAGCCACTCAAAGAGAAACCTTTCAGGGGTTTGCGGCTCGGTAGGGAAACTCAGCCCCACAGCTAGACCGAATCCGCCTCCACCGGGCGGAAGTCCCGCCCCGGCCTGCAGGCCCCGCCCTGCCCCTGCCTATCCCTTTGCCTAGGAGGTTGTGCTTTCCGTTAGGTCTTATTTCCCGGGCACGTCCCTACTTCCTGAGCACTCCAGTCCTGGGAGCCGTCTGTGCCCCCGAGCGGCTGTCCAATAGCCGGACCCTGTCCTACCAGGAGCCGCGCCCCCAGAAGCGGGACCCTGTCGGTGCCTGAGCCGCCTCCTCATCAAACCCGGTCCCCCAAACCCCGCGTCCTCCAAAACCCTGAGCCCGTAGGATCCAGAGTGAACCCCGCCCCCAAGATACCGAGTCCCACCCTCCAAATTGGTTGGACCCCGCCCTTCCCTGAGCCACGCCCCCAGAAGCTGGACCTCGCGGGTCCGAGTCCCGGAGTCCACAACGGCCTGACCCGCCCCTCACCGAGCCCCGCCCCCTAGACCCTGGGTCCCGCCCCACAATGACTGGGTTCCGCCCCCAGGAGCAGGAGCTCCGCTATCGGGGGTCGGACCCCGCCCCTCCCGGAGCCCCGCCCCCGGCCCGGCGACGGCGGTGACCGTTGGTGCTTTCGGCGGGCGCCCGGCGGGAGCAAGCGGCGGCCCGGTAGGTGAGCGGGGCCGGCGCGCCTCCTCGCGCGTCTTTCTTCCCTGGCGCGCGCCCCCGCACGGCCCGGGCTGGTCGGCCTGCGGCGGTGGGGCCGAGTTCGGGCGCCGCCCGCGCCTTCTTTGTTCGCGCGGGACTCCGGGAACTTGCTCGCGCGGCCGGTGGCCGGGGTCCCACACAGGCCTGATGGTGCAGGTTCTGCACGAGCCCCAGCCCACAGGACCCGGGCGGGATCTGACCCGGCTTAGAAGCGGGCCCGGCCGGCCATGAGGGGGATTTAATGTCCAACTCAGCCCGCGGGTGCATTGTTTGGGCAGAGACTGTTTCCAAGGGACCCGAACTGAGGAAATGTAGGGCAAGAACGCAGGGCAGTCCACAGCGAGGATTATGGAGTATAGACAGAGGGGCTAGAGCTGTGGAGTATAGACAAGGGGACTCAGCTGTCGGGTGTACACGGAGGGGCTCACACCCGTGGAGTGTAGACAGGGGCCCCCAGACCGGTGGAGTATCGACCGGGGTGCAGAACTGTGAATTGTAGACAGGGGACTCAGCTGTGGAATGTAGATGGGGGGGAGGGCTCAGACCCCTGGAGTGTAGACGGAGGGGCTCTGACCCATAGAATACAAATGGAGGGGCCCAAGCTCCTGGAATGGGCTCAGATCCACGGAGTGTAGATAAGAGGGAAAGCTGGTACAAGGGAAGTAAGTCATCCTGGGAGTGAAGCCTTGAGCCTACAGCAAGCAACTGGTGTGTGTGGGTGGGGGGAGAGGAGCAAAATCAATGATGAATCAAAGGATTGTGCTTAAGTTTTAAAAGTTTCTAAAGGAAGCACGCTCGTCGGTGTGAAGTTTCTTCTGCAGAAAGACTGGAATAAAAATGTTACACCTTTTTTATTTGGGGCTTCAGGGACACTGTTGAGACAGGGAAGGTCATGGGGGTGGAGGGGCATGGCTTGGGTAAGGCTCTGGGGTAGGACCTTGCAATGATGAAGACAGGGAACAGGTGCCCAGGAATCTGGGTCTTTAAAAGATGCAAGGCCATTTCTGTGACGCTTCTTGGAACGTACCCCCAAGGGGACTCAGAAGGAGGGTTGCCTCTGACAGTGAAGAGGAGAGGGAGAGGCTGGAGAGCTGGCAGAGGAGGCCCGCAAATACCAGAGCTGAGAAAAGGCCCTCAGACTTGGGGTGGCATGTGTGTTCTAGGCTTTGCAGGAGTCAGGAGAAGGCAAGGGTCCGTACTGAGAGGACCTAATTGTAGTGCATCACCGAGTGCCAGCTTGTGACAGGAGGCACTTTGTGGTTCTTTGTGGCTCACAGGAGAGGCCCAGGGTCAAGGACTGGCTCACATTTTGCCTTATGTTTAGAACAGCAACCTCAAGAGGATGGGATGGTGGGTGGTCACAGAGGCGATACCGAGCCTGGCGAACCTGCTGCTGCAGTAGGTCCTTTGAGGATCCCAGAAGTGGGAGAGGTTGAGGCTGAGCCCTGCATTTCTAATCCTGTTGCCATTTGACATCTGTATCTGAGACAGAGCCAACATGCAGGTCCCTTCTGGCCAAGGGAGAGTGCTGCCTTACTTGTGGGCTCCCTGCCTTGCTTTGGCAGCAAGTGCACCATGATGGTATGGGGTGGCCGAGGGCCCTTAACGGTGGTGTGTGTGTGTGTGTGTGTGTGTGTGTGTGTGTGTGTGTGTGTGTGTGTGTGAGAGAGAGAGAGAGAGAGAGAGAGAGAGAGAGATTGAGATTGCTGGAAACCTTGCACACATTTACTTACTAGTCAGCACTTGCTTTAGTTTCGTATTGAGCTGTTGCAGAGACTTGAATTTAGTGGCTTAAAACAACAGTTTATTCTTCATGGCTCTGGATGCCAGAAGTGTGCAGTGGGTCTCACTGGCCACGTGTCTTTTGGGGCTGGGGAGAATCTCCTCACTTCTCATGTCAGGTGGACCCTCATCTCATCCCTGGGCTCAGGGCTTGGTTCCAGTGCCATGTGACCTTCTCTTCCGCCGTAAGCCTCCCTCTGCCTTGGTCTTTGAGGACACTGAGGGTTGCCAGGAGATCCAAAGTTCTCCGTTTACATCTGCAAAGCCCCTGGTGTGTTTTCCCTTCTCACTGAAGAACAGCTGTGTCCTGCATCTTCCCCAGGGTGGGACACAGGGATGGACCCAAGGGTCCCACCCACCAAGGGCTGCAGTAGTCTGTGGTTGCACTGCCCTGTGGAAGTGTTTCTGGATGCACGCCCAGTTGTGAGAGGGTGCAGTGTCCATTTGTTCTTTCTCTTTAGGGAGGTGGGGTTCCCACTCCTTCAGCAGTCCAGTGAAAACAACAGTCTCCAGAAGTCTGCTCAGTAGCAGTCTGTAACCCCAGCACTCAGGAGGTTGAGTCAGGAGGATGATGGGTTGGATGCTGGAGCCTGGGTCAAGTGAGACATCTCAAAAATCACTGGGCTAGAGAGATGCCTCAGTGGTTGAGATTGTGTACTGCTCTCGCAGAGGATCTATGTTTGTTTCCAGAACCTGCTGTGGACAGCTCACAACTCCCTGTAGATATAGTTCCTGAGGAACTAATGCCTCTGGCCTCCTAAGGCTCTGAAATTCATGAGCATATACATGTAGTTAAGAAAACAATCTTTCCCAGCACTGGGGAGGCAGAGGCAGGCAGACCTCTGAGTTCGAGGCCAGCCTGGTTACAAATTGAGTTCCAGGACAGCCAGGACTACACAGGGAAAGCCTGTCTCCAAAACAACACACACACACACACACACACACACACACACACACACACACACACACACACACAATCAACCCCCTCCAAAAAAACCCCAGAATTGTCAAAAAAGCCCCCAAACTTCAAACCCCAATGCAAACAAGCTCAAATATGCACTTTGCTTCTGATTTTCACGGGCTACCGTTTTTAGAAGTGCCCAGTTTCTCCCATGGAGAAGTCACTTGTTCCAGGAAGGAGCAAACCTGGTTAGTGACCCCACTCAATGTCATCTGTCCTTTGTTTTCTTTCCTTGTTCTCTTATGAGTGCACTGTCCCAGCTTTGTAATAAGGACATCCCCATGGTTCCCTTCCTTGTTCAGGCAGTTACATACATGTGTACACACTGTATGCTACATGCATATGTTTTGTACATCACTCATCTATCTCTGAGCCATAGTCTTAGTTGTCCTTCCATGACACCTGTTTGTTGGGAACTAACCCATGGGTTTAAATTCAACAGTGGCATTCTGTGCCACTTACCTAGCCCTAGAGGGGCCACCCTAGGTGGGTGGAGTCTTCTTACCTGCATGCATGTTTGTGAACCATGTGCATTCCTGTCAGATCCCCTAAGCTGTGGTTATGGGTGGTTGTTGGCGACCATTAAGTGCTGGAATTGAGTCAAGAGCCCTTAACCACTGAGCCATCTCTCCATACCCCTTTCTGTAGTGGGGCCTCTTGCTTAAACTAGCTGTCATCACTGAGCTGAGCAAGGACCTGTAGAACAGCTCCCATCATGCACTTATGGATTGATCTTGCTGTCACTGGTGTACCCAAACTGGATTTCATTACATCCTCATGTAGTCTACCCCCGCAGCTGGTGGTATTGAAAGACCCTGCTCCAGTCTGTTGTGACGTCCCAAGATCTGCACAGAGCTGTCACCTAGGGTTGTCTGTGCTATACTGCTCTGTATTGGGTTCCTGTGTGATCTCAGATCCATCCTTGTTTTGTTAAAACTCTATTCTTTTTGGTAGCTAAGAAATGTAACCGAGAGCCTTTCCTCTTGGTTTTGAAGCCATCCTTACCATCTAGTTCCTTTTTAGTTTAGCTGGGTATAGAATCCTAGACAGCTATGCTCTGTGCTTTGTGCAGTGGGTGCAGGGGGACAGTTGTGAACTGTAGTAAAGTTAGCTAGGAGCAGGAGAGCAGGGTGCCCCCAGGATGGGGAGGCTCAGGCTCCTTGGGTGGGACTATGGGCACCAGGGAACGAATGGCCTTGTCTCTTTATAGTTAGGCTATAAAGAGAAAATAGTGCTGCATAGTGCTTGAGACACTGGAATGCCAAAAAGCTCTTTGTCTTTTATGCAGCATCTAATGATGTGAGTGTCTCAGGTTTTTGTTTGTGGAATCAGTCAACTCTCTTCAAAGACTCACTTTGCACAGGTTTAAATACCACAAACAGGAATAAATGTCAAGTAGAGATAAAATGGAAAGATCAAATAAAAATGAAATGGAAAAATTGGGGTGGTTTACTCTTAAATATTTCAAAGGTTTGGAACTGGTGTGTGTTTCTGGGGTCAGAATTGCAACTGCAGAGCCGTTGACAGTGAGGACCCATGTTCTGACGAGCTGTGGCCTCTGCATGTCCTATCACTTTCCCAAAACTCAGGAGCCTAGGTTGGTGCCCAGAGCCAGAGGAATGAGTTGACAAATGGCCTTTGCCTAGCAGACTGTGGGCCAGGGGGGCATCCATTCCCAGGCCAGCCCTGGTCTCAGCCGGGTGTGGGGGTCTCATGGAGTAGTGATGGAGGCTAGCTACCTCCTCTGCTGATTCTTGGGTCAATGTGCTGCTGCTATTGCATTTGAAGGTCTTCGACCTCTGGCAGGTGGCCCCCATGCAGTCAGGTCCTCGATGGCTCGTATGGCTCATGGCTCCCTGCCCTGCCCAAAGAATTGGGTCCTCTACCTGTGTGGG